ACAGATGCTCGTCGTTGGCGTAATCCCTAATTGAAATGTCTAATATTGAAATAATAATAATGATAGTTGTAATAGCCATATTATAGGACTCATAGAAGATAACATGACGGGCATCGGCAAACGCATGGGGTCACATATTTGAGCTAAGCTTACTGAGTTACACAGTTAGATGTTATTAGGGACGCACCGTCCCTGCGTCGCTCGTATGAAATGATTATCGAAAAAGTCAAATAATAGTGATGAGGAAGCAGATGAAGATCCGAAGTCGGCAATAAGTAAACAATGCGAACGACTCAATGAAAAAGGAAGAGGACGCAGGCGACCGCTTTAACTGTGCCGGGTCACGAGTCTCATACAATAAGAAATTAAGGTTTATTATATTTGATAAAATTAAAGACAATTCTTTATTTTTGTTTGTTGAAACACTTGTATTTAATATGCGATCTACGTCTATCATAAAAAATCGATATCACCCGCAGTTTCTAGTGAATATTGAATTATAATTGAGTATAATTAGGCTCTACCGAATAACATAGTGGAATATATACAATTCTTGAGTAATCAATAAATGAGCCCTCTAAGTTCACTTAATCCAAAATCTATTAATTAGAACAAACGGATGATGATGAGTTAAACGATACTTGCGTTGGTCTCCATAGTTGAACACTATTATAAAGCGGTGCAAGTTAAAAAAAAAGGTCGTGCTTTTAATTGTTCATTTTGGTTAGTCGATAAAAGCGGAGTTCCAGAAGCTTTTCGTATTGTACATTAACCGAACTTTAGCAGGACAACTTACGAAGAACTTGTTACGAATTTGTGCTCTTTAGAATTTCGCTAGTAAGACAATCAATATAATCAACCATGTACGTTAACGAGAGCATGAGATTTTAACAACAGGACGGGAGTCTAACTAGAAATTGCGATGTTTGCGATGAACCATTGACGACTGCCAGTAAAAATAGTAAAGTTTTAGGCAGAGTTTTAATGGTCTAATAACCATCTGGGCATGTGTGTTATTTCAGTTCTGTACAATTTCGTGCAGGTGGAAAACAGCGCAAGGAAGGAGGAAAGCGCAAATTCTAGACAACTTAGGGATCTTTCTTTTCCATCTTAAAATAAGTAATCAGAGTTGGGCACTTCGCAAATGGGGAATTCGAGCGGTATCTTCTGTCTGAGCACACGTATTCTGTGAGTGAGGACCCGGCAAACCAGCGAAAACCTCACGCGGGAACGGCTCAGCCTTTTCTAATCAGCAAGAACAACGTGACCCTTACGTTAATCAAGAGGAAACGTGAAACTGTACCAATCTTGATCGTATCTAATCACCTCAGCTAATTCGCCACTTGGTCAGCCCTTCTTTATAGGCTCAATAGAATTGAATTTATTTGATCCGACGATATAGGTCAGTGTCCACATAGGCGGGCCATCATTAGGATTATAGATGCTAAAGGGAACCTTGCCGTATTTAACGTTGAGAGGAAGAGGAACGCTTCGGGTCGTTGTAAAACCTTAGTATCGATTTAATGTGAAAGAGCTAATTCATATCTCTTCCTTACTGTTGATGTCCGCTAGTTCCAAACTATACTACGTTTTGATCCGCAACTGATACATTTATCCGTCCAACCACTAGCTTGCTTAGGCACACACTTGCTAGGATCAACTTTAGCGATCGAGTCAAGTGTGTCTAAACGAGGTTAAGGGTAGCCCTAGCTAATGATCGCGGACGTTGAAACGTTCGCTTCAATCGTTCGATAGAAATCAACTGGGAAATCCAAAAACATTTTCCTTCCGAAACGTATATTATCTGTTTTGATCTGATAATACGAAATACACTTGTGAAGGCTTGCCGTGCGGGTTTTAGTCGGATCGAACTATCTGATCATTTAACGGTCTAATAATCCTTAAAAATAGAGCAAAACAAGGCTTAAGCTTTCATCTTATACAGGTTTGTTAGCAGCTCCATCCCCTCACAGCTACTGACTAGGCCTTACTGAAACCATGTTAAGTCAAACTGAGGTGAGTTCTCAATGTGAAAACATTGTGAGGTATGGTGATGTGACTTACCTTCTAAAAACGTATAAGAAATTTCATGAATAAGTGAAAAGTGGGCAAGCTTTAAAGGTTGGGATCTATCCCTTACTAAATCTATTTTATCTGTAGCACTGGAACTGTGTAAAATAAGTTAATATAGTTAGTAATAAGGTAATATAGTTAGTTTACAAACCATGATGTAATCAAACAGTTAATATACTAAAGAAGCTAAACATGGGAGATATAATAAACATTTTACCGATATGGCTTATTTTCGGTCTCTAACGCAACAGTCATATAAGTGCGTTTTTTTTCATAAATAAATTTTGTTGTAATTTTAAAAAGCAAACCTTAAATCATTGCCAACAGAGGGCACCGCTCTAGATGTGCCTCTAATGCAAACACTTCAATAAGTACCAATCTGAGTGTTACTATTACGAAATACAACACATTTATCGGTCTCGTTAATCTATTATTTCATTTACGTAAATCTAAAAGACCGAAACAACGTGTCCTACTTTTCCTGTCGTCCGAAACTTTCCTCATCACGAAGCAACTAACGATGCTACAGTGTTTTACGAGGTAATCAAAGTCCTTGTTCCTCTGTCTAATGCTTCGGCTTCGGTGGCGACCGTTTTTCTTTTTTCATCTCTATCTGACTGTGCGTCCCGCGTGCGTATGCTTATTTGTACACGCATGCCTCTGTAAAGATGTTTCTGCGTTCATACACATGCAATAGTTAGTTACCTATGCGCATACATTAACCCATCTGTAGCTTTGGACCCGCCTACAAATGCAACAGAAGGGGTATGTGTGATAAGGGAATATTTTATAATAGAATTGTACTATTGCCACCTTTCAATTTAACTATAGATAGTACTAATATACAGCACACGGCATTGCAAGCGTATTGTCGTATGTGGTTGACAATTGTGGGCATCGTCTGGCGAACGTTGCGTCAATGCTGCAAATGGGAAAAGGGATGAAGAACCCTCCCAGAAGAATTGTCTTCCGGTCACGTAGAGTCCACTTATCGCTACTGCAACTATGGGGCTCATAATTCTTTATCGTACTTAGTAAGATTAGTTCTAGCACTCTTAAATGATGTGCTCGTCTGTACGCTTCTCCCCACTCACCGTCCTCTGTTGATACAGTTAACGACGGCGTTTGTTATCGTGCTGTTTTTGTCTACGTAGGGCCCGTGGCCACTGACATTATCAAGTTGTCTGTTACCGGCAACTGTGAGTGCGGTCGTCGCAGCGGCGATCAATAGCTTCAATAGCTGCCATAGACAATAGTCGGCGTTGTCCGTGTCAGTTCTCGATTGTTGGAATTTCCCCCCTTTTCTTATTCTTCCGTTTATAGTTCGATATCGCCCGGTATTGCCGACTCTTTGGTCATATCGTTAGTTCGCTGCTGCTGTTGTTATTGTTGTAGTGGGATTCTATTTTATTTTTTCAATAACACTTCTGATGACAGGAACTTCGAATGACGATGCCTGACCGTCACTGCAGCGATCAATGATGTAAATGACGGCAACGGTACGCGATATGAAAGCGATCCGGCAACATCACCGGCAACGGCAGCGATCGTATTTGACTTACCGCGTCAGTTGTCAGTCGGTCGATTGGGGCTCATGAGACATGGCATCACCGCGTACGGCGGCGCGCCGTACCGTTCAAAAACAAACGTTGTAGGACAAAATAGAGAGAGGGGAGGCAAGCAAGCAATAAACGAATAAAAACAGCAAAAAGTTCATGTAGTGGCACACCCATGAATCTAATCAGCATTCGACGATCGGTCATAGGTTATAATAAAATCTATGCAGTAATATTGTGCTTATTTATATTGCGTCGCAGACGTAACACGGCTCACGCACCGTTCTCGTACTGGTAGTAGCGATGACACTGGAGGAACTAGAGCGTCTAGCATGCTTGCAGAAGACTATAATAAAAATGATGAATTTCATCATTACTTTTTTCTAAGCCAAACACAGACCGAGCGACGATCGACGAGGCATGGAGGTAAAATAACGGTTAGTTACAGCTGCTATTTCGATAATGAAAAAATAGAACGCGTGCAGTTTTACAGCACAGAACATTGGGGTTAAATGGGCGAAAGTCTGATAGAGGACAGGATTCGTGGTAAAGCGTTAATCTAATGCGAAAGGTGGCACTTTCAAATAGTATCAATATATCAATTGTTTAGGATATGGTCTATGAAGTGAAAATGGAAGAAGGCAGATTTTCGTATTGCTAAAGAGTGACGTATCGCGGTTAGATTGGTTAGCTTAAATAGCAAAATTGAAGACAAAGACGCCTCTTGACTTAGTTCTAGTGATGTGGACCTTTGTCAATAATTTTATGCCAGTCAAGTATTATTAATAGGAGCTCGTTAAAGAAGGCAAAAAATACCAGTTCTATGAGAGAACTACCTACAAAGGAACTACCTTGCATCGTATTTAGAGAGAACTGTTTATTTCGAATTAGCCGATAGCCGTTCGGTTAATTTTCTGAAACTTTAATAAAGAAAACTGTTGGAATTCTTGAATTACTTTAATCAACTTACAGTACCAGGAAATTCAGGAAGTCGTTCTATTCTAACCGCTGTAAGTCATCATTAGACTAACATGCCCGAATTATGACTATTATTATGCTTCTGTAATTTTTCTCAAACCTCGTCAATCTTTTGTTTAAACTAGTATGCATTCAGTAATAAGGCTGTAGAGGATAATTTGAATCTCTTTATGTAATAACAAAATAGTTACCTGTTTCTAGTATGTAACGCATTAGCAATCGCCACTGTTCCCTTTAACCTAGAGACATGCTACTTTGTCGGGTCACCGTCTCGTCATATTATAGGTAAAATTTTCAATTCTTTCTAAGCATACCATATTTATTTTATGGCATAAATAAACATTCTATATTAACATTTTCCCCGTGGACCGTTTAAGCATTCGATCGGCTTACCGGAAAACGAATACGACTTCGATAGTAGCCCGTTGCAAACAGGAGTAAAGTCAAGTTCGCCCAGCCCTGAAAGTTCAGGCAGCGGACGCTCAGGTGGTAGTTCTGGACAAGGTCGATCGAAGGAACTGCTGAAAGCTGGAATCGAGAGATGAGCCAACGTGAAAGGGCCCCGGCGTGATGCCACACCGCCACTTGGTCGAGCGGGTACCCCACCGCCTCCGCCTGAACCTACGGCTATAAAAGCTGGCCTTGCCATAGGCGTACCTTCGCCACCACCCGACATTCTGCAATGACAACAGAAGATAAAGTTACTTTTAGATGTTAGTTATTCAACTATAATAAACAAAGTAGATAGCAGGTATGATAGAAACATAGACGCTTTTATGAGGGTGAAGAACGTAGTAGATCTGAACAATTTTTGATAAAGCTCTCGCTTCACCATAAGAGGCGTGATGGTTTACGGACACTGTTAAGAGATGATAAGCGCTCCTCTGGACCAGACTGACTAATCACTATGAGACTGTAATTAATTAAATGAGTAAAATGCAACAATTCCAAGCCTTTCATTCAACCAACAAAGAGGTCCAGTAATGGTTGTCAGTTGTCGACTACGGAAGCGCAGCCAGGTAATGCTCTCTGTAGCAAATCCTACTAGTAACCTTATTTCAAGATATCTTAGAGATTTATGTAAAGATTATCGAATTGTTCTTGAGCAGGTAAAAGACTTTTTATGGTTTGATCTAACGTATGTGTAAACAAAAACGAAGCTATATAAGTACAAAAAAAATTACATAACGGTCGTTGTTTATTGGTTAAAGAGCCTTACTATTTTCATTCAAAGTGCTTATTAGATCCCTTTTTTATCTATCGATCATTTACAAGGATGTATTTGCTCTTTAGATCAATGCCCTGGAAATAAATTGCTCAATCTTTGTGTTCGGCTTCTAGATAGAATTCTTTACCGATGTTTCTATTAGAAGTATTTTTTTTTATCATTTGTTTGATCTAATATTGGCAGCATTTTGACGTCGATGAAATCGCTCAACGCAAAAGGGCAGGACAAGCCAAACTGACCTGTATTTCACAGCTTCCCCTGCTTGATAACTGACTTGCAAGTAATTTCGCTAAAAAACGATGCCCTAGTGCATCCTCGCGACACCATATGAGACATAAGGCTTATGCGACGTCTGCTAAGGTCAGTGGACTTTATCCCTTGGTCAAGGCTTTCAGCGTAGAACTTCTGGCTGTTCATATCATTCGCTACTTTCTAGTTTGCTTTCGATTGCAGGCATTTCTTACTTCCGTACCTTGAGTGGACTGCTACGCCGCCTTCAGGCAGAGACACCCATGCCGAACATGGGACAAAAGACGAGCTCCAGCAAATGATTAAAAAACGTGAAACTTAAAATGCTCAAAGTATGCGTGATTGCATTACTTCAATAATGTTCTTCAGGTATTATTTCTATATTGTTCTGTCTATTCAACTTCGTTTGAATAGCTTGCTCAGCTACGTTATGGCTTATGAGTAGCGCCCTCACTAATCTGACGGTATTGTGGTTCATACAGTCTTTCATTCTTGGCCAGTTTGTCCTTCTTGACAACAGCAGGCCATTCAAGGCAGCATATTGGTTTTCCGCTTTTTGGTTGTTGAAGGGGCCGGCCTCAGCAGAAAATCGGCACTCCTATTTTCGCTATCGGCAACAATTTATAAGAAAACGCGCGTTCGAAACTGAATCTACATGCCATGTATAAATGTAAAATAAGTAAGAGGCTAGCTGGCATCATTATGGCCGATGCAGACTCGTCAGAAGGGACGGTCCGTATGAGTCCACCCGGCTGTTTACTGTTGTGCCTGACGGTTTACTGTCGTTGGTGCCGTTGTTGGCCAATTGTACGTGTCGCAGCAAAGCCATGGCCGACCTCTCTACCCCTGCGTGCTGCGTTGTACCATATCGCCTTTCACGGGCGGTACTGGCCGTGTTTACATTGGCTTCGCGAAGCCGTGGGCTCGTTGCCGGGCAATTATAATGAGCATCTACAGCCGATTCTACTTGCCGTTGTGTGGCTGACTGGATAGATGGTTCTTGCATCCGACCGCCGCGTACTTATAAAATTTTTAAACGGCGCCAGCGAAAACGGCGGCTGCATGAGTCGTCACAGCAGATCGATGTCCACGGTTAACGAGTTAACAGACCCCGAAACAACGAGTACGGGCAGGCAACAGACCGACAAACCTATAGACGACAGAACCTTGTCGATCTCGAGTAGAACGGAATAGACTTTTACTCAGATTGACTCGATATATAAGAGTTGAAGAAGAAAAAAATTTCCAGACTATAGAAATGGCAGACGAAGCAAAAACTTCACGGACTCACGACCATGCGTGCTGCCTCTTTCGCCAACCAACCAACTAATCGTTTGCAAAAGACACATCGCAGGCACGTCGAGACTACTGTCGGTGCCGTCGCACCGGCCTAAAGCTGGCCTGCACAGCGAAACCGTTCCTCCGGAAACTCACTTACCCGCACGCTTACATATGTGCCTCATATATTCGTTGCACTCGAAGAGCCGCATCAATGATAGAACGTACTAGAGATAGAATTAGACCGGTAACGGCTGTAGTGGCAAAAGGCTCTTACTGAGCTGAAATCGTTGTATCATTTGGAGAGTTTTCAGGAACGCGTTTTAACCAGGCGGAATAAACCGTTACGCTAAAAATAGTCTGGGCACAGGTTTCTTTTGATGACAAGCAGCCGTGTTAGTGGCTCATACAAATAGATATTCATCCCGATTGGCTACGTAAAATTTATAATCCCTGAAGGCATTGGCATTATCAGAAAATGTTGTACGGCGTACATGCCTAATCTCAGCAAAGGGTATTGAAAAAATCAATTTTTTGACAGGCACGACTTCACGTATCGAAGAAAGTCTTTGTAGAAGTTTTGAAAGCAGCAAAAGCAGTGATTTTATTAAATAATCTATAGTTTCTTGCAGCATAAAGCTAGTATTAACTTCTACGTTCAAATATTATCGAGTAAATTTGACGTGCCTGAACTAATGATATTGGATTTTGCAAAATTGCCCTTTTTGGGATAGGAGCTATGATTGCAAGTATCGGTATATACTCCTCTGTGCTGTTCCTCTATTCGTCGAACGAATTGGGTTGTTTGTTTGTTAAATAGAATTTAATCTTTCCGAAACTCCTGGAAATGGTTATTGTGTTTGGCGGTTCATTTACCAGTGGCCAGTATAGAGGACAAAGTTAAGTAGACCCAGGTTTTGTATCCGAAAAAATCGATGGTAAGTTTAGAGTGGCAGACAGTGCGTTCATGTGGTAATAAAATATTCAGTGTTTAATTTTCACTATGTATTTTACCGAATCGAAAATTCCACGAGCCAAGTTATATATATATATGTGTGTGTGGGTTATATGTATATATGCACTTCACCATCGTAATAAGGGCTGGACATTTAAGTACGACATTTTGAACTGTATATTAATTGTTATACGGATAGCTTACCAAAACGGCAATAAAAATCGATCGGAATACGAATGCTGCCTCCGTAGTATAGTTACCGACGCCTTTGGGCTGTATATTATCGCTCAAGATATTTAGGTGCTCTGAGCAAATCAAACGTTTAAAAAATCTTTAAAGATCATTTCAGTTGTTTGAACGAACTCTCAAAAGAGCAAAGAGCCTCGAGGGAAGAATTTCGTTTTCTTGGAATGATAGAAGTTGTTCGACGTAAAGTCTGTTGCTAGCAATGAAGGCAGGGCATGTTTTCCAGAATACTGCAAGAACTTTCAGGAAGTGAGAGATTGACCTGTGTGTTCGCAGAATCAACGAAGATCGAATTGATGTGCTAAGCGTTTACCCGTTGGTAGCAACGTTATCATCCGCGTTGCCTCTTTGAAGCAATTTTTTGGGATGGTTCTTTCCTGGAGAATTGCGTATGTCGTTCCATGTCTTTGTGTGGTCACATCATACGATTTTCTATTTTGAAGATTTATTCTTCATTCCATGCCGTACTTCTATGCGCTCTCTAGCAACCTCCGTTAATTTGAGCAAGCCGGAAAACATCCAAAAACCTGGAAGTTTAAATCGTACCTGCACTCTCCTCTATGGTATTGTAAGTAGGAAAAACTAAGTTCAGCTATGTGCTTATTTTAGTAAAAAATCAAATGTAGCTTATCTAAAATACATATTTTCTTGATTCATCAGCTTTTGTCTATTATAAGAAAGCATTCATAGTGCACGCTTTCAGAACGTTCTGTTTTGCTGATTTTTTTTTTTAACTTCGTATTACTTCACTTGCAAAATTTTTTTACGCATGAGTGAGTGTTCGCGTCCTGGTTTATCTAGGCATATATTTGTGTCTCCAAGCTTAAAATATTTGTTTATTATTATATATATTATATCGTTCAGCATAAACCGTGACGAGCATTAACATCGTACCTCAAGATAATACTATTTCTCTCAGTATGCGACATTTTGTAATGCTGTTGTTTCTATGCTCATAATGCGCTTGTACCATCTCAAATCTGAGCCGGTTTACTCTGATATTGTAATTCGAACTCTTAGGACAAGAAAATAAGGAAAGGACATAAAAAAAATTAGACACATTTTCAGAATGACTTATGAGTATAAGTGTCATTTTGAACGGACAGCGCCGGAAAAAACTTTCCATAAAAATCTTGTATTCAGTGAAGGTTCCACGAACAGGAACCCCGTGAGTCGTTGGCTCGAAACATCCCGGGAAGAAAATTCTCGATATGAAAATGCCCTTGCAAAGCTGATTAACAAAAAGCTAGAAGCTGTGTTTGAAGCCATCCATGTTTTATAAGTGTCAACACTTAGGCTTGATGTCTAAAAAAATTCTATGCTTATTCAGCTCAATTATTAAGGTAACAATTATGAACTAATGGATGCCGCCCGACTTGAACGAGGATCAAAAATAGAGACGTAGAAATGCTGGCTCCTTTTTACTCAGAGGTTACAACATTGATTCATTCTTGGCTCGAACGGTAGCCTGTGATGAATAATTGTCCTTCTGCGTTAATCGCAGGCGGTTACTTTATCGAACAGAAGCAACCGAATTGGTGCGTCGTCACCCTAAAGAAGACGTACCGTTACAAAAGTTTATAGTGTCTAGTTTGTAGTAGTTAAATTATTATCTGTTGCAGCTTCATGAGCCTGAATTCGTCGATCATGGCTGAAGCGCACAGTTGAAAATTGAAAAAACCCCAGATTATCGGTTTTTTCAAAAAAATTATGTATATATT